GACAGAAAATAAAGATGACAAGAAGATAGAAGAAGATCAGAGGGCTCTTCCAAAATGCAAATTGGAAATTATGAGTTGTTTTACGGGTATATGAAGCAAACCCAGGAAAAGAATGACCAAATGGAAGAAGATCGAGCTCACCACCCTGGAGCCAATTGAAGATTAATTCAACATTTATGCATTCATGGTAACATCATTTGCATAAAAGAAAATGCATTACACTAATACATTGAATTGCATTCGTGTTTCTTGCATAAATACATGATTTTGACAGATCTTCCGGTGAAAAGAGAAGATGCGGAATGTTAAAATCCCGATGATTGAAATGAAGATTTCAAACCTCGAATACAAAGAGTTGCATTTAAAGAGGCATACCCTGAAGAACAGAGAGGTCTAATCCACAGAAGAAGCATTGCTTTGAAGTGAAGACCATCAGATGTATAAGAAAAACAAAGATTTTCGTGTATGAAGAGAGACTTGCACACATGAGATTGGAGCAATTCATCTTAAGTCTTCACCAAATAGTAGTGAAGTAATCCATCTTAAGCCTTCACCGAAGAGTAGTGAAGAAATCAATCTAAAGCCTTCATCGGAGAATAGTGAAGCAAATCCATCTTAGGCCTTCACCTGAGAACAATGAAGCAAATCAATTTTAAGCCTTCACCGAAAAGTAGTGAAGCAAATCCATCAGTAAGCTTTCCGAGCATGATGCTTAAATCATTCGGGTCTTCTGTAAGCCTTTAGAGCAAGATGATAAGTCCTTCAGGCCATCCATAAAACCTTCGGGTAAGATGTTTTCACATGAATTTGAAAATAAAAAAATGATGTTTTAAGAAGATGGAATTTTTGAAAACGAAGAATGCGATTTTCAAAATTTCACGATTTATAAGTCCTTCGGGCCATCAATAAGTCTTTCAAGCATGATGCTTAAAATCCTTCGGATCATCTGTAAGCCTTTAGAGCAAGATAATAAGTCCTTCGGGCCATCCGTAAGACCTTCGGGTAGGATGTTTTCACATGAATTTGAAAATGAAAAAACGATGGTTTGAGAAGATGAAATTTTTGAAAACAAAGAATGCGATTTTCAAAATTTCACAATTTATAAGTCATTCGGGCCATCAGTAAGTCTTTCGAGCATGATGCTTAAATCCTTCGGGTCATCTGTAAGCCTTTAGAGCAAGATGATAAGTCATTCGGGCCATCCATAAGACCTGCGGGTAGGATGTTTTCACATGAATTTGAAAATGAAAAAAAAAATTGAGAAGATGAAATTTTTGAAAACAAAGAATGATATTTTCAAAATTTCACAATTTATAAGTCCTTCGGGCCATCAATAAGTCTTTTGAGCATGATGCTTAAATCCTTCGGGTCATCCATAAGACCTTCGGGTAGGATGTTTTCATACCATGATGATTAAATCCTTCGGGTAATTTTTAAGCCTTCACAGAAGAGTAGTGAAACAAATTCATCAGTAAGTCTTTCGAGCGTGATGAATAAATCCTTCGGGTCATCCATAAGACCTTCGGGCAGGATGTTTTTCACCAAGATAATAAGTCATACGAGCCGTTTTTAGCCTTTTCAAAAGAATGTCGGAGCAAACCATCAGATCATCAGATGTGGACGGAAACTAAAGATTCTCGGGTACGAAGAAGCGGAACAATCGATTAAAAGGGTTTGTGCACGTGAGATGGAGGCGAAAGTCAAGAAGAAGATTGAGGAAAGGAAAAGACGTTGCAATCAGACAAAATTAGGTTATTTTTTTATCTTTGCTACGTTCTTGTGTTCACAATGAGCAAAGAGGGGCAGCTGTAATACCCTAATTTTTTCTGGGCCATTTGAATCTATTTGAAGATGACCGATAATTAATTTGAAGGTGTTGGTGCTCGATGAAGAATTAATTCAAATAATGAAGCGGGAAATTTTGCGTTTGGAAGCTTTAGGTGCTTAATTGGAATTGGAATTGTATATGGAAATCGGGACACAAATTGAAATCCAAAATCCAAAATTAAGTGTCTAGAGTCCATTTACAAGCCCAAATTAGAGTAAAAATAATTACAACCCAATCTAGAGCCCAACAGCAACTCAAGACAAGCCCAAGACCCGAGCACCACGTGAAGGCCTTGTTCTGCTCCATAACACCCGGTCACTACCTGTGCAAATCTCTCCCACGTGATGCACACAATTGATCAGCATCCATGGCTCCCACGTGGACCACAACCGAGCAGCTCGGTTCCCCATTCCCACTAGCACCACATTAGAGCAACCCGTGCCCATACTGCCTGTCACTCACAACCAATCACTTCACATGAAACTCCATAACAGTCACCGGTGCCCTGCAAACAAACATTTTTTAGCAAAATCCAAGGTTTGGGGCAGTGGGAGGAATCAATAAAGTTATCAGTCATAAAAAACACAAAAGATCCAAGGGACGAAAAGAAGAATTTGGGGGGGATTCCTCATTGGATTTTAGAGTGGAAAGTAATGTAAAAAACACAGAGCTCTGTTCACGGGCAGCAGAGGAGACCCGAACAGAGAAAATAGGAAATAAAAAACAAGGGGAACCATCACCAAATACCAACGCAAAAGGGGAAGGTTTTCGTGGTAATCAAAGGGAGTCATCCCTTTCGTTCTTGTAATCACAGATTCCCTGAAGAATAAATAAAAGAGAGCAATTTATCCTTTGTCTTACATCCATTTTTTAACAAAAAAACAAAAAAAAACCGAGAGCATTGACTGAACAATTCAGAGAAAAGGAAAGCATCCGAGATGTGTCTTTCTATTACATTTATTTTTCAGTAGAGATTTGTGGTTGGACTATGTTTTTGGTCTCGAAGAAAACTAGGAAAATAAAAAGAGGGGTCGAAGTTACATTAGAGTTAGCCTGTCTCTGAGCTATAGATTGGTCCATCGGAGGCCCTTGTGGTCGTGCATATTTGGGGTCGAGGGTCGTTTCGTGGTTTAGGGGTCGATTTAGTGACCCTTAGTTTCGTCTTGGTGGCCATAGGCCGAGTTTAGGGAGGTTGATTCTCATCTCGGTGAGGTGAGTTTTGGTCGTGGTCGTCGGGGCCTTGGTAGAGAGTGAGGATAGTTAGAAAGATGAGACTGAGTTAGCTTTGGGCTTTGGTGGTCTTCGTCGTCTGGAGGTCGGAGCGGAAGCGGTGTCGACGTACGGCGGCCGTGGCTCCTTTGGGTTTGGGTTTCTCGGCGGTGTTCGTGTCGAGGGAGAGAACCAGAGAAGAGAGTAGATATGGGATGAGAGGAACGTCACCTTGGTGAGGGAGAAGAAGAGGGATTGCGGTTGAGTGGGAGTGAGCAATGTAAACAAATGAAATTAGGGTTCTATTTTTACCCTAGATTTAAATATATAAGATTATTAAAACGACGTAGTTTGAGCAGTTCAGGGCATCTGTTTTGGGCGTTTGGTTTGTTCATTTTATGAGTCATTTAGTTTTTACTTGTAACTCATTTTAGTCCTAAAATCATTTTTTATGTTCTAATTTGGTCTTTATATTTTACGCAAGTTTAATTTCAGTCCCAAGTGCTAGTATATTTAATCTTTCTGTTTTAAACATTTGACCCTCGTGTTCTGCATGTTACATTTTAGTCCTGAGTGGTAATACTTAGTTGTTGTTTTCTTAGACTTTTGACTTTCATTGTTTTGCAGGCTACGTTTTAGTCCTTAAATCAATGTCTTCGTCTTCCTAATTTCACTCCCATATTTTATGTGCATTTTAACTTAGTCCTAAAATCAATGTTTTTGTATTTCTGATTTTGTTTCCATGTTTTATGCGTATTTAATTTCAGTCCCAAATGTTGTGTCATTTAATTCTTGTTATTTTAGACATTTTGCTTTTATGTTTTTGCATGTTTCGTTTTAATCCCTAGGCCGAATTTTTCATGTTAGTAATTTTGTTCCTTTATTTTATGCGAATTTAATTTCGGTCCTACGTATGTTTAGGAATTTATTTCAATTTCAGTACATGGAATGTGATGTTTATATCTTAGAACTCAATTTGTGCTCAATTTATGATTTTAACTTTAGAGTTTATTGCTCATTCCTCTTCAGTTCTTATGTTTGTTTGTCATGACATTTTTATTTATTTGTGTGTTCATCTAGATATAAGTTTTCTTAGAATCATTAATTTTTGTTGATATCCTCACGTGCATAACTCGACTCTTATTACATAATTTGATTAAGGGTAATATCCTTTTAATTTTAACTTGTCGGAATGGCTTTTCTTAACTCACTAGAAAGTTATTTTAGACGATTTTAAATTACAAGTATATCCCAACAGTGTCACCAAAAGAATTGATTCATTACCGTAAAATTTGGGAACGAAAGAAAAGGAAATATTCGACTATTTAAATTTTTTGAGAAAAGGTCGTTAGAACTTACCTAATGGTTTGGTAATTTTAATTTAACCTATTTTGTTGCTTTTGAATGTCATAGAATTTGCTTTTTCGTTGTTTTAAGGGATCATAAATCAAATTAAACTCAAACTTGTGAAATATGTTGCAAAGACATTAATTAACTGACTAGGTACCGATTTAGGGCGCTGTGGGGATGCTAATCCTTCCCCATACGTAACCGACTCCCGAACTCGAATTTTGATAACGTAGACCGCAAATTTGTCGTTTTAATTAAAATTAATTTTTTTATAAAATGACAACGTTTTTGGGTGCCCAATCACACCCCAATCAAAGATTGGTGGCGACTCCTCGAACCATATGTTTTTATCGTAAAGGAATTTCCAAATTTTCGAAACGAGATGTTTTCTAAAATCGCATTGTTTTTAATTAAAAATCAATCCTAATTAAAAATAACGCGATTTTCAAAATCTCGCTCCCCACTCGTAAAAATCGTTTCGACAAGAGTAACCGACATCGACATGAACATCAACCAATGCATCAACAATCATTTCAGGATACATAATCTCAACATTCAAGTACCCCCAAGGAATCAAAATTACATACAAAAAGAAGTGAACTAAAGTGAAAACCTGAGCTGTAGGCTTCCCCTTTCCAGAAAAGAATCCAGCAATGAGAACAGCAAGTGGTATGAGCCTCTTAATAGGAATATTAACCCCTTTCAAGCTTGCAAGAGCAAACGCCACATTTGCATTGGAAAACAAAGAAACAGGGAGAAGCCCTTTAGCTGTGGTGATATCAACCCCTTTAGCTTTTGTATAACCAGTTTTCCGACCAACGTGAATGAGCAAGGCAGTTGCCAATTGCTAAGACAATCAAATTACCAAGCAAGTATCTTTTCAATGACCCATTTTGCATCTCTAAAAGAAGAAGTACCTGAAAAGTAATAAGCGACATGGAGTGTGTATACTGCATGAGAATTGCTTTGTTGATGAAAACCATAGCCATGGAAGCAATCCCATATGCTAAAGCTGCAAACAAACTACAGGGAAAACTACATGTTAAATTATAGCAATAGTTTAGAAACTCTCGATCATCAGTGTCTATTTACAAATCACTATTATGTTTACTATGCAACAAGGCTTTAAGGAGACGAATCTTTTAGAATGTTTCAAGTGTTGACCTAGTGGAATATTTATTGAGTTTTGACCAAGTCGATTTCGAATAATTCAAGATCTGTCTCGTCTCATATACAACTTTAGTATTGAGTATTGAATTTAAGAATGATGAATACCGGTAATTTGATATCGAGAGCTGAATATTTAGAAGATGCTTGTGAGCCTCGTGTTCCAAATATGTGTATTTTCGATCCAAAAATGTGTTTGTGAAAGTTGTAAAATTCAAATACGAAAATTATGTTAATTCATATAATATGTTTAGATGTCCGATTCAGAATTTTGATATCCAGAAAAATATTTGAATTTTTCGAATCGAGTACAAATCATTATTTTATCGGTATAAAAGTTAGGATATCTTATTTTCTAAATCAAATCAATTCTATATTAAAAAATATACACTCTTACTAATCGATGTTGGTTCAAGTGGAAAGCATCTTGATATCGATTAAACAAGATCTCGAATGCGAATCATTGTGTATGTAGAAAATCTCTGTTGGAAGACTCACCCACCAAAACTAGATGCGCGACGCAGGTTGGTCCGAATTAGACAAGACAAAACTTTAGAACCAGAAGAACAAATATATATATATATATATATATATACACACACCTACTCATATCTTCAATTCTTTGTAAACCTTGTTTTCCTATGATGATGAAATCCCTATTAATAATTAAATATAGACAAATATATGATATGCAATGAAAAATATATTATCTCTCTAATATTGTATTTATTAGACTTAATATAAAAATAAGTGTTCAAATTATATATTTTTCATTTATGTATTTAAACTATTTTTTGATCAATTCAGGTGTCGAACGTTTTTAACGTTATATTTTTAAGTGTCTAGATCATCACGACCGTTAAATTATACCTTTAAATGACACATGTCACTTTTCCAAATTTTTTAATATTTTATTTTTTAAAAAACTTAAAATTATAGTTTTTTTTTTAAATCCAAAGTTTTATAAAATACAAAAGAAATAAAAAATATTTTAAAACCCTAGTTTCAATCCCTTTTCTGCCACCGTCCGTCACTAATGTTGTCGGTTGAACACTAAACAACGTGCGATTGACCAACCATCCAACTGTTAGAGTATGCCCAAAGACCAATCATATGATGATTGTAATAATACTTTTATTTACCGATTTTATTGAATAAAGGAATTGTCGATATTATTTTCATTTATATATATGTGTTTGACATAAACTGGAAGATAATAAAGTCCATATAATGACATAATTGTTATTATTAAAAGATCCTTAGTCAAGTATTATTATGGGCATGGACAATAATAATACGCTTAAGACTAACATGTTATTGATTGATGACGACGAGTTGTCACTGACATAGAGATGTCAAAATTGATACATGATTATATTGTTAGAGAACAATGTATTGGATTGACCGACCATGAGCATATGCCTTTGATTATTATGTGACAGACATAGCATTGCTCATGGTGATGACTATATGTATGATCCTCAGACTTGAGATCAATATTATCCCAACATATATTGTTGTATGTTTTGATGCTGCTAAATAAGCTCCGTAACTGGTTGCTCTATAAAGACTATTATTTAATATATCTCAATATATGTAGATAGTGTATATGATTAAGATATGATTTTTCCTTCCTACATAATAGGAAATATATCAAAGGCCACTTACTTGATTGAGTAAGACTAGAAACGCATGGTCATGCTCGAATAAGTTGATATGAGATATCATAAACTATTCGTTAATTAAAGTCTACTTTAGATATCAAGAAACATTAGATAGGCTATACAAGTGTGACTATTCCAAGACTTGTGTCTATTCTAAATATAAAGGACATAAGGATGTAATACATAAAAGAGTTAATAACCAAGATGATATGTCGAATCATATTTTCTTGTAACTTAGGTGACAATGATATATTGCTAGATGTCACTCATTGTATGTAATATTAGAATTGTTCTAATAATTACTGCTAACGTTACAAGAACCTACAAGGTCATACCCTAGGATTGAAACGAGCAAAGATGTACAATTTGTTGTACATTACTAAAATATATATCTAGAGTTAATTAAATATATGTTTTAATAATCTCAAATATTTAATTTTAATTAATTAAATATAAATTTAATTAATTTGAAATAATAAAATCTCTAATATGATTTGGGTAATTTGGATATAAAAGGATTATTAAATTCTAATTAATTAAATATAGATTTAATTAATTTGAAATAATAAAACCCTAATATGATTAGGGTAACTTGGCTATAAAAGGGTGTGTTAGGTCTAGCAGCCGTTTTTGAACACACACACAAAACCTTCAGCCGTTTTTTTTCTCAAAACTGTTTTGGGGAAAAAATTATTGCTCTCAATCGGGTGAATTGAGTAGAGGCCGAGACGTGATTTCGTGGAGTCTTACGATTTGAATCGATCTACACCACCAGTATTCATTGTTATCCTTGTTGTTTTTCAAGGAACCCGCTGTAAGTATTCGCATTCCTTCCTCCCGATTTTAGTTTTTCGTACTTGGATCGCTGGTGAGACCGTCGAGTTTTGTTTCCGTTGCGCCATGGGGTGCGCCGACGGTCCCAACACCAACGACCAAAGTGTCTTACTTTCGCAATAGGTCAAACACCCAACGGTCGTGTAAATGCAAGAAATATTTTATCGTTGATTTTCACTGTTATCGTCGGTTTTTTTTACAACTAGAGGTTGGAGTATGAGATTTCGATCGTTGAGTGTTTGAGCAGTCACACGCTGTTGGAATTTTGGTTGGTTAGCGGCATTGTGGCGGTTGATAGTGACAAAGGGATTTTTTTTTATAATTTCATAAAATTCTTAAGTATTTTTTATAAAAAAAAAAATTAAATTTTATAAAGGTGACTTGTGTTATTTAACCACGGAATTTAACGGCCTTGATAGTCCATACACTTAAAAGTGTAATGTTGGAAACATTAGAATTTGAATTGACCGAAAAATAATTTAGGTACATAAATAAGAAAAATGGTGTAATTTGAGTTTGAGTCCTTTTTTATATTAAACCTATTTATTATCTATTTTATTCTTATTCTAAATTCTATTTTATAATAAAAGTAAACAGATTATAGTAAAATAATACTTATTTTCATAGTAAATAACATTAATAATAAATATCATTATTGAATAGTATAGATGGTTATGAGATATAATATTTTTTCAATAACGACATTCACATATCTTATATATATGTCGGTTTAAACTCGAACTCTTTAAATAAATAATATTATATTTTAGGGTTAATTATGTGTCTAGTATATGATAATTTATGTATTAAACACGTAATTTATCATATATTTTATGATTAATATCTCTGCATAAGTTCAAGTCGAAGTAACTAATATTTTTTTAATTAATCTAGGTAAATACAATGTATTATCTGTTCAAAGATAATTCTCAATCATTTGACATTAGATGCTTACATCCTTGTCATTCTTAATACTCGAACCTATTCTCAATCATTTGACATTAAAAACTTACATCCTTGTCATTCTTAATACTCAAACCCAAAACCTCGATAAATAATTGCTTGGTTGGTGCGAAGTAAATGACATTAAATAGGGTAAAGTGGGTAGGTTTAGGAAGTAATAATGATAGACATTTGGGTTTAGATATGCGACTAAGCTTGTCAGATGGCATTCAAAGCAGAGATGTCAAATGCAAAATTTACTCCAAAAATTCCCCACTTCTTCCAACCTCTCTTACCAGGCTTCCACAATCACCTCGTAAGTCCTCTCTTCTCTCCATTTTTCAATCTGCATCTGCGCTGTGTTTTCTCAACGTGCATGCATGCATGATGATTTGCAGTCGATCCCTCTTGCGTTTTTCAAGCACTACTTAAAGACTCAGACCAACGGTCCGAGAGCCGTACTGAGGAGCCACGGAAGAACATGGCCGGTGAAGATCAGGGACCGGAGATTCGAAGACGGGTGGGGAGACTTCGCCCGAGACCACGATTTGCATGTCGGGGATTTCTTGTTGTTCGGATATGGAGGCGACATGGTGTTCGACGTAGTGGTGTTTGATACCAGTGCATGCCAAAGAGAATACCCAGTTTTTGCCAAAGACCACCACCAAACCAGAAGTCCGACCGCTTCGTCCGGCCATGGAAGCCCTCATTTTGTGGCCACTTTGAGTCATTATTGCATGAAAAGGTTCAGGCTGGTTAGTATAAATATGTTGCATATAGAATCGATTCTTAGTTTCAGGCCTTTTTCATGTCTCAAATCGTTAAACTGCAGAATATTCCGAGAAAATTCGCCAGGTTCAATGGTCTGATGGGCAGATCTTGTGAGATCGTTGTTGTCGATGAACAACGAAGGTCGTGGATGGCGAGTCTAGGACACAAGGAAAGTGATGGTCAAGTCTATATTGGATGCGGTTGGAGAAACATCTGCATCGGAAATAACCTTAAGGCAATGGATTGTGTTGTGATCGAGCTCATTGGAAATGGAACCATGCCTGTGTTTAAACTTCACAGTATGTACTTTTAGTGTTTTCATTCTGCATTTCATATATGGGATTTGGTTTATCTCATTGTTCCTCTTTTTGCAGAGGTTGAAGACGATGAAGATGACAAAGGTATGGCAAATTACCCTGCTTCCAACGCTGGTTGCTCAGGACGGACCATATATTTTTAGAATGAATAGCGACCCCTTTCTCTTTTTGTATGCAGTTTCTAGTAAAAGGCAGTGAAATCTGTAGTGTAATGTAAGCAGATAGGTGAGCAAGTGAAATTTTGGCTTAAATCTCAATATTTATTGGGTAAATTACAAATTACATCAATCAAGTTTCTTCAACCTCTTACTAAAGATTAAAATTTTTTAATTTACTGTATGAATTTTCGACTTGCTCATATTTTCTTTTTGTTCACTTTGACGTAAAATTAGAAATGGAACAGTCATGCATATTGATGTTAGCCACCATTTTTATCACTATCAATTTAATTTTTTCTAAAACTACAAAAGAACCCAACCATGGCAAAGGAATTCAAGCCATGTGCTTAAATTTTAGGGTAATTACACATTTAATACCTAAACTATCAATTTTAGTCTATTTTAGTACCTAAACTTTCATTTTTTTAAAACCATACCTAACATTTAGTTTTTATTTCACTTTAGTATCACACCGTTAAAAACTTAACACATTTAATATCTAAACTAGGGATAGGCATAGGTCGGGTTGGGTCGGATTTTTGGTCCACCCGACCCGAAAACAATGACTCCTACACTCGAAATCCAACCCGACCCGCATAATATATACCCTCCACCCGACCTAAACCCGACCCAACCCGAAATAATATAAAATATTTTTTTATTCACTAAAAATAATGATTTAATTGAAAAAATAATATATGAAAGGGTATTATTGTAATTATTCCTAAATATATAAGAATACAATTATATTTTTTTCGGATCAGGTCGGGTATTTTTCACCATAAACTCGAATCCGACCCAAACACCACCTTTAAAAAATCAGACCCGACCCGACTTAACCCGAACCCATTTTTTTTTAAAAACCCAACCCGATTGGGTTGGGTAAGAACCCATCGGGTTCGGGTCGTATACTCATACCTAATCTAAACCATCAATTTTGGCTCATTTTAATACCTAAAACTTTAGGTATGATTTTGAAAAAAAAAAATGAAAGTTTAAGTTCTAAAACAAACCAAAACTAATAATTTAAGTACTACGTGTAATTTTCCCTAAATTTTATTAGCAAAGGAATTCTGCAACTAATCAGGTGTTCATTCAGTTAAAACGGTGGCCGACCGAACCGAAATACCTTTAACCGAATTCACCGAACTTTTTTTCTTTAACCGAACCGAACTTTTTTTTGAAAGTATTAACCGAACCGAATAAATTTCAGTTAATTCAGTTAATTTTCGAAGTAATCGAATTTTTTTTAGAATTTTAGAATTTAATATTTTTTAATTAAAAATAATAACTTACAATTAATTTAAATGATATCTAATTATAAATAATATCTAATTAATTTGATTCAAACATTTTGCATTTAGTTTTGATATTACTTTAATAAATTAATATTGATTTTGGTTTTAAATAGATTAGGCCTCTCTTAATATAATTATATTTAAGGGTCCCTTGAATATTTTACAGAGTAACCCCATGTTGCTGCCTCACCCATGCAATATGTGGGTGTTGAACTGGAACCTTCATCAGTGGCAAACTTGCTTCTCTAAAATCAAAGAAAACTCTCTCCATTAAAGAGATGAAACTGTCTACTTTTTATACATAAATTGAACTAAGAAACAAACAGAAATTCAAGCATCGGCTTGACAAAAAATTATATATACAAAACAAAAGCAACAATATCAATCTTTCCAACAAGAACTAGACGGCAGTAGACAAATTTTCAGGCACGACACTTGAAAAACAAACAAAAAAACAGGCCAAGTCTTTGAGTTGTGTCTATCCTTAGTATCTTAATATATATATAAAATAATTGCATGCATCATGCATGTGTATGATCACTATGAAAACCACCAAATAATTAACTACCATAGCACTAAGAATTATTGAATAATGATTCATTTTAAGTTTTTTTTGGGACAATCCATAGTTGTGTTAATGCCTAGTATCTTGTTCCTTCATATTATAAACGAATAGGATATGGGGTGATGGAGGGCTCAAAACACAAGACAAAGAACAATGTTTTTAACATCGTTTTCCACGGGCTATGCTCTACTATACACTTTTGCCCATGCTTCACCTGCTCATCTCGTGTCCGGTGCCCATACCTTATACAAATAAGGCAAAAAAAATTGATAACCGAGGAGTACATAAAAATAGAGGGCAGCATATTATGGGGTGAAAAATATTAAAAAAGAAAACAATTAAAAGGGGAGAGCATTACATTCACACGGGGGAGCACAGAAGAGAAGGTGGCCTACCGAATTATAAAAATTAAATATTTTTTAATTTAAAAAAATAATTTACAATTAATTTAAATAATATATAATTATAAAATAAAAATTTTATATAAATTTTTTAATTAATTAATATTGATTTAGGTTTAAAAGTTATTAGATCTTAAATTATTAATTAGATTTTAAATGATTTGAATTGAGCCCATATGTTATATATAATATATTTAAAATTTAATTTCGGTTAATTCGATTAATTAACCGATTTCGAACCGAATTAACCGTTAACCGAATTCTAAAAATTTTATTAACCGTTAACCGAACTAATTCGGTTCGATCGGTTAATTCGAAAAAATGAACACCCCTAGCAACTAAAACTAATTTTAACCCATCTTCCACCACCAGTGTCAAACCTAAAATGGTTACGGGCCATCTAAAATTTGGTACAATGGAATTTGATCGATGCTAGACATTTTCATCCATTTCTTTCAATGATATATATGTGAAAAAAATAATTACCCAATTACTGCAACGGCTAATCACCAGGCTGTGTTTCAGCTCTCTCGAAACGATAAGGTCGATTCGAACTTCAAGCCTGCGTTTCGAGCTGGAGATGTGTCGTCCAGGAATTAAAAACTACTGTTGTAATGGTCGGGTAGAAGATGAACTTGATTTGGAAATGGCCATATCAATGTCTTCAGAATCTTGCACCACATGATCTACTGCTACCGGCGAATCTAACTGGGAGTTTTTTATTTCTTTCAGAGATGATGAGCGTTCCCCTGCATCATCAACCAGGTTCGTGCTTTCGGGATTTGGAGCTTCGGAGTTGGTTGCAACGAACAGATCTTCGGAGTTGGCTGAGTACCACCCTTATTCATATATTCTCCGGAACCATATCTGTATCGTCGCCATCTATTCTGATAACTTCTGAATTATTCTGGAAAGTGGAATTGTTTTCACAGAGGGAAAGTTCCTTAGGAAGTGATGCATTTGACTTGAACTGAACCACAACAGCATCCTGACGTTGATCAATAGCATCATTTCCTGTAGATGACTCGACTTTAAGTCCAGGAATTTCTGAATGCAAACTACCATTCGATAACGGGGACGGAGGAAGACTTGGAGAAGTAATAGACTCATTTTCAGGTACAAACTGAATTTCTTTCAAGGGAAGATGTTCAACATCGGCTTTCATTGATTTCTGTTCATCTTTCCCCTGAGATCCCGAAGTTCTAAGACATGACGGGCGTAAAGAAACCCTGCAAAAACAGGAGCACTTGTAAAGATGATTAAACAAACAAAAGCCATAAATTCACACGCAAAGAGCAGGACAGAGAATATTCATATACATGTCTTACTTGGTCCCATAAATTCACAAAGGTTAACACTTTTTTACCGACAATAACCATTTATGCCCTCTTTTATCAATTTAGTATTCCATACTATGTCTATGTCCATAAATCAATGGTTTGAACAAGAGAAAGGAATATCAAAACCGGCTTTAAGTGCCAGAATTTATTGAGGGAAGAAAAATGAACCTTCTATATAAAAGCATATATGCCCCCTGAGAAAGTACCTCTTCCAGTTCAACCCTCATGACCTGGGAAAAGAGGCAGAAAAAAAGTTGAGATTAAAACCGAAAATGCAGGTTAAAATCTCTTTTTTTCTTTCTGTCAACCCCACTACTGTGTAGTGATGAATGAAGGCAGACGACACACTGAAATTTTTTAATAGCAGCAACACTTACAATCAGAAAAGGGAAATGGGGTGAAAGACATGATAGAGTGAATACCTTAGAATCATCAATTCTATACCAGTTCCCCCTGAAATCTTTGGTATAGCAGATGTAATGACCAAAATAGGATGCATTCAGCATATCCACATGGACAACAACTGCATAAAGATTGTATACATTGGTATCATCTCCATCTTCACTCATAAAACGGGTAAGATCTAATGTCTCGGGAAAGCTGACTCTTTTGTTGAGTTTTCCAAAACGGCCACTCTGCAAAGATTTTCAATAGATATTTCAGGATTGTAAGACAAAACTTTGATAAACACCAAATGGAAGCATCTACGGCAACATTGATAAAGCAAACAAATAACACAAGCATGATGTAGGTAAGACCTGAAATCTCTTGAAGGCAATTGTAAGAATGTTTGGAGCCCATCGTATAGTAAGCCGCTTCCATGCCTTGACATAATCATTGCAACTAAAAAGAATAAACACTATAGTTAAACCAAACAGTTACACATCAATGTACAATAACAACATACAAAATAGAGCTAAAATTCTGTCTCAAACATTTAAGATCAGGCAAGCTAAACTATATAGATCCTGAGGGCAAGTAGAGGAGAAGCAGTCATACCCATCACATTTGTACATATTTTCCCCATGAAGCCACTCTTTAACAGTGAATTGTTCAAGGCATTCCTCCAGCGATGAAGCATCTCCGTTAATTTCAACAGTTAAGTCCATCATATTTTCATATTGATTTGAAATCTTATTGCAATTTGAACAAATCACCTACAAGGTTTTAACATGATGATAAAGCAATAGAAATCAGTGTACAAAAACATTGAGGAAAAACAAGCAATGAGATTTACATAAAGGATTATGGCAAAATCAATAGCCTTTAATGGTAACATGTTCAAACTATGAACAAAATTTCACTCAGTTAAGGGGCAACACTCTTATTCACATTGAGTTTCCAATTCATATAGGTGCTCTTTTTTTTGGGGGGGGTGGGGGGTGGCGATGGATGCTAAATCAAGAAGCAAAATTTCAAAACACAATGTTGTAAAACATTGTTCCCTAACAGAATCATCGATACAGTAACTTTATCAAAATGCCAAATAACAAAAATTCAATAGAAAAACGAAAGAAAATCAATAGGATATATCACCTGAGACTGCAGATGACCACCATATATATGCTGAATAAGGGTTGTCTCTTGCGAGCTATGATCTACAGCTTTTTCTCCACCAAATTCATCAAGGCAAATTGATTGCATTGTATCAATAGCAAACCTGGAAAAATAAAGGGCAATGGATAATTACAAATAGATCTAGAAGTATGAAATTTCCTCTTGTTAATTTCAAGGTGTCAAAAGAAAATGGAACAAATATGAGAGATGCTAACCTCATGAATTCGTGAGCATCCTCTTGCCTTCCATAGCCAAGGTTACCTCCAATATTAGGCAACCGTGGGAGAATATTAATTGGTGAAAATGGATTCTGACTCTGGCTTGATCTTTCAACGTGAGATTGAAGTTCGCATAGAAAACACCAATCATTACGTCTGCCTGGAAAACAGAAATAACAATAAAGGTCAGATGCTGTTCAATAACCTTGAGTGTAGCAGAGTTCAGTTTCAAATTTTACATTCTTTCTGATGCCCTTTCTCCAACAAGTAAGCAACAAGAGGCCGGGTAGATACAAGGCATTGCAGAACCACATTGGCAAAGCAACTGCAGGGAAAGGAAAAACATGAAAAAATAAATAAAGATTAAAATACGAAACATAAACTTATCCAGTCTAATAAAAAGTTCTATCATTTTAAATAAAAACTCCAATAAAAGGAAATAAAAAGCATGGAAAATATGAACCTATTCCCGCAATTCAAGAGTCCACATGGAGGGAATGCCACTTTCTCCCAGTTGAAAAGTTCTACAAACTCATTATATGGGAAAAGAACCTGGGAAAAAAAGAAAGAATGTGAATTACTTCTATTGGGTTTTAAAAAGTGTCAAAAGAATAACCTCTCTTGGCTTCTTGCTGATCTTAGAAGTTCCACAGGCAGGAACCAAAGCAACTCCTGAAAATGGTTTTGTGTTAGCAGTCTGTGTTGAATTTACTTTACACTTTGTCTTATGCTCATCTTTCCAGTGCACCTGCTGGCAAGTTAAGGAGCTGAAAAAGAAAGTAAAAGTAATAAGATCAAACCATTCAACTGATGAGTACATTAACTACAACATTCGAAAGTCATTGTTCGCTAGCATGCTAACAGCAAATTTTGAAAATCTCATGCATTGTTATGTATAGTTGACCGATGAAGTGATCAAAATCTCAACATCAAATTTTCTATGCTACTAGTTTATGTACATCATCGTCAGTATTAAATAAGTCTGGATTCAACCTAGATTAAGGACAACAGTAATTTGACAGACAGAAAAGAAGAAAAATCTAGGAAACCCCCAAAAATGCAATCCATTCTAAATTCTTACCCATAAATCAGAAAATACCAAATAATTATTCTTTTTATATACAAAATTCGAGGAAGCCCAAGCAAAAACAATTGTTTCTAAATTCTTGCTTATGAACCAGAAAATACAAAATATTTTTTATCCCTTTTTATACAAAATTCCAGGACCCAGTAATTATTTTCCCCCCTCTAAACTCATACTATGAACCAGAAAATACAAACTAATTATTATCTTCTTTATATACAAAATTCCAGGATAACCCAGCATAAACAAATTTCGTCCTGATAAATCAGAAAACATCAAATAATTATTATCTTGTTTTTTAATAGTAAAATCGAATATATACCAGATCACCGGTAAGACCGCCATAAAACCGAATATATATCAGAAAATATCATCATAAGAAATTAAGCTTACCTCAATGTAAAACCGAATATATATAGGATCCAGTAAGACCGATACATAAATTTTAGAATGCGGTCAATCGAGGGGATTGGAAGAGTATTAAAAAATTACAAACAAATAGGAACAATAATTACAAAATTTCCTCATTTGCTTTCATTAAAAGAAACTCCAGCTATGACAATAATGAAAAAAAACAGTAATAACCACCGTAAAATGCAATAACGGAAGAAGCGGATCACACAAGAAAGTAAATATTGGGGCCTAACGTACCAATAACGAACAGATTTACAACGCGAACACTTCTTAGGGGCGGGATTGGAGCAAACGGCGCAGGTAGAGACGCGGTTGTTGTCGATGGGGATGGAAGGCATTGTCGATTCACGATCGAAATCCGCTTCAACTTCGAAGTATCTCGAGGCTGTATTCTTGATTAGGTGAAGAGCCCCCAAAGCGAGAACAAAAAGCGTTAATATGAATTGCAGGAACCAATTCGTATCCAACGTTACTCTGCCGACATGCATCTACTCCGATCCTAGGGTTCGGTCTTCATCAATCTATATTTACCAACTTCCAATTTTCATATTGAATTCACTGTCACTCTAAAAACCCAAAATACAAACAAAAATGAGCAAAACCTTAGAAAATAAATGGAATAACAATCAATTTCATATTGAATGCAATTACCTTGTAGAAGTGATTTTTGATTTCTTGCTTGATACGAAAGAGACATAAGAATTGAAGGGAAGATGCTGAAACCCTCCCTTTGCTCCTCTTTACTTATGCCTACTTCCACGCCGTTTCTGAGGCTGAGGCTCAGGACAGTTGCGGCCTTCACTTTTATAATTAGAGTTTGGGATCAGGGACGTTTAAATAGTAAATACTATATATTTTTTTGGCTTAATATATTTTTAGTTTCTAAAATTATAATTAAAAATACAATTGAGTACCTAAAGAATTTTTTGTTAACGATAGGTATCTAACGTTTTTTTCGTTACACTTTTAGATGTTTACAATTTTCTCTGTTACACTTTTAGGTGTTATATTATATTTTTAATTTTTATTATAAAAAAATCAAACCCTCCCCACATCGTCCCTCTCCCTCCCATCCCCTATCGCTAACGGCGAAGGGTTATCACCGGTCGGATTTTTTGGAGTAGGATAATAAATTCAACATTGGTGGTTGTGTAACGTACGGACGATTATAACTGTCGAAATCATCAGAAAACAATAACGAAAAACCTAGAAATCCGGTGACTCTTTATTGCATTTTTCACAACGATCGACATAGTTTCACGGTAGGTGAGGGATTGAGTTTTGGTCGCGACGGCAAGACGATTCTGATGGTGTCAACGGTGATGGTCATGGACTGACAGTGGCAGACGACGGAGGAAGATGTAAAATTTGTGAGATATTTTTAAATTATAATATTAATTTTTTAATAAAATAATTTTTAAAAATTTATATGTCTAACACGTGTGAGATAAAAGTCAAATTTAACTGTCGTTATGGTCCATACACCTAAAAGTGTAATGTTGTAAACATTAGACATCTATTGTTAGCAAAAAATTCTTTAGGCACCAAATCGTATTTTGAGGTATAATTTAAGCATTAAAAAGTGTATTTAGCCTATTTTTATTTAGTTAAACATTAAAATAATTAATAATATTTTATTTATTTAAATTTAAATAAAAATATTATATATATATATATCACGTTTATTTGAATCAGGAATTTGTAAGTAGACAAATAAATAAAATGAGATTAATGGAAAATAAAATATTATACAAAAGATAAAATTTAATATAATTCAATATAATTATTTATCTTTACGGATAAAAAAATAATAATTTGTTATAAATATAGAGATCTCAAATAACCTTAATTCATAAAATTTTCTTTTATTTTAAAATCTGATATATATTTCAATACTTAGTATATTTATTATAAATATTCTAAAACACTTTTCTAACATCTTTTATGAACAAGGGCATATGTATGTAATTTCTAAAGAGAACAATTATTGAATAAAAATATCCGACTCGAAAAAATATAATTTTACTTTATATATTTAGGTATAATTACAATAATATCCTTTTATATATTAGTTTTTTTCAATTAAGTCACTATATTTATTGAATAAAAATATTTTTTTACTGTTTCGGGTTGGGTCGTGTTAGGTTGGGTTTTTAAGTTATATATCAGGTCGGGTTCGGGTTGGGTGAAATATTGTTTCATGCCGATTGGGTCAGATCTCAGGTGGAGGGGTCGGGTGGATTAAAATCCGTAGCGTGTAACGAGCTTTCTTTAATCCTATTTTAGGATGTTCATAAATGTTGATAATTATTGCAAACATGCACACCATATACAGAGAATGTCATACACTATATCCATATCCGATTTAAAATCCTAAATCCTAAACTCTAACCTTAATATTTCTGTAAAAAGTTTATAAATGTTGAAGCAGAAATGCATACAACAAACACAGCTGCTACCGACCGGAAAACATGAAGGGCTCATATCTACTCCTCGTCGTTCTCGTGTCTTTCCTCGTCTTCTCGCCGGGTAATCAAAGAAAATGAACAATCTTCTCTTTCTTTTCTTTTTCATCTCTTTTTACTATAACAACGGCGGATTCACAACTTTTTCAGTGTGGACACGTGCTCACCCTCCATTAGTTATCTATTTTATTGATGGTGTCTATTCTGAATTTTATTTTATATATGCTCATCCCGCTGAAAAAGTTTATGTTGTTAACATATACGTGTTTACTCTGAAAAATATTTCTGAATACGTCATTGTATCGTAATACAACTAATATTCCTTTAACTGCTCGCTCATGTTCTTTCTTTCTGGGGGAAAACACAGGTGAATCAATAGACCGAGCATGTCAGGTAGCTCCGATTCATCTTCCCAATTGCTTGCGTGCAACATGCATGATGAGCTGCCTTTACAAGTATGGTAAAAGCATCGATGGCGGATGCATTGACCACGAGATTTGTTGCTGCCATACTTGACGGACTGTTGACGAGAAAAATATTTAGCAAGGTTTTTAACGAGACACACAACTTACGTTTCGGGCTTGTATGTTTAAATTCTTAATAAAATCTTATTTTTCAAGAAAAAAAGGAAAATATTTAATAAAATCAAACTTTTTGAGTAGAAATCTTTTTTGTTTCTTCTTTTATGTTATTTATTTGGAAGAATTCGATTGAATTTTACTTAGAAATTTTAAAATTTTGAACGGGAATACTAAAATGAAACAAAAACTAAACTTTAGGTATGGTTTTTAAAAAATCAAAGTTTAGATACTAAAATGGACCAAAACTGATAATTAAGTACTAAACGTGGAATTTACCCTTTTTTAACAACTCACCTAGGGTAGGAAATTTTTTTTCGCCTAATGGTATTGAACTTACAACCTAATTTTTTTTTTTTTTTTTAATTCAATTTGATTTGAAATAAACTAATTTTATATGAAAAAATCAAAATCGAATCAAACTGTGAAATTATATATTTAAATCGAACCAAAATAGAATCATAAAATAAAAACTCGAATAGAATTAAATAACATAATACCATTCGGATCTATTTTTCGATTTCGTTACTCAACCCTAAATGAAAAAAATTAAGTCACAAACTAGGAGAACACAGCCTCACCAAACCCACAATTAATATTGGGATAACCTAAAATTAATATTTGCCTATAAAAAGCCATGCAAGAAACACAGCCGCTACCAGTCGGCAAACATGAAGTGCTCATATCTCCTCTTCTTCTTCCTCCTCCTCCTCGTGTCTGTCCTCATCTTATCGCCTGGTAATGGAAGAAAATGGACCATCTTCTCTTTCATTTCTTTATTCATCTTTTTATTCTTCCTTTTGTACTGCAATGCAACTAGTTTACTTTCATCTTCATTTTCTTTCTTTCTGGGGAAAAAATACAGGTGAATCGGCAGAATCAGCATGCGAGCTAGCTCCGATTCATCTTCCCAATTGCTCGCATGAAACATGCGTTCAGAGCTGCGTTGAAAAGTATGGTGTAAGTATCAATGGCGGATGCATCGACGACGAGGCTTGCTGCTGCCGTACTTGACGGATTGCTGATGAGGATAAAATATTGGATAAATTTAATAAAATGAAACATTTTGAATAGAAAGCTCTCTCTCTCTCTCTCTCTCTCTCTCTCTCTCTCTCTCTCTCTCTCTCTCTCTTCTTTTAAGTAATTTATTTCAAAGAATTTGATTTTTACGTCATGAATTTAAAGTATAATGATAAATTTTATTGTTTTCATGAATAATTATTTTAGTTTTTATTTTCTTATTTAATATTTGGCTCATAAATTTAATTAAATTGATCAGATTTAAATGAAACCAATCTTGATGTTGATGTTGATTGCCGATTTTTTTATTTTTTATATCGTATATTTATTTTTCTCTTGTTTTTAATTTTCAATAAGCATGCCTTCACGACACGTGTTCATTTGCTTTGTGACATGTTTTTTCTATGTCTCTTGGAATGTTTTCGATCGTTTTTTCATTTTTAAGGGTTGATTCGACATCGTCACGACTTATTAAGATGGTGCTTATCTGTTATCATGTTGATCTTCCCTACTTTGGACCCTCATATTGGATTTGGATACTTAATTTGTGTTCGTGATAGTTTTTTCAGGTCGTTCAACTCTGATTTGCAATTTTGTCAATGGCTCTCAATGGCTTAATCTCTTTTACGATTCATTTGCATCTATCGATGTTCGAGTTTTGATTAGATTTTTTAATCTTTTCTTGTATGGTCCTTATCTGATCTTAAGTTGCTAATTTTGTGTCAATAATTTTAGAAAAATTTCCTAATTGTGTGTTTAATTTACAATCATTATTGTAAATCTCCATTATAATTTATTTCTTTTAAAAAAATAAAGATTTATTTGGATAAATTTCTCAACTGGGTAATATCCAGAAGTTATTAACATCATCATCAGCTAACTTCCATATCATCATATTTAATAATTAATATTGCTCAAAAAATTGAAGGACAAACTACATAAATGGTCACTTATGTTCGAGTACATTTTCATTCTCTCTACTAAAATTTCAAAAAGTAATAAATTAATCATTAACGTTATTGATTTGTAACATACTGGTCACTCATTGTTAACATGGATCACTAAGTTTTCTCTCAAATCTTCTAGCTCAAATGTTATAGAAGAAGAAAAGGGTTTAGGATTCAGAATAATTTCAAATGAAGGGTCAGGATCTTTTTGTTTGACTCAACGGGTTTCCAGCGTGGCGGTCAACAGTCTAGGTAAGCAGTTAGTGGTCCAACTCAGCTTTCCGTCACCCATTCTAGTGGTTGTTATTGACGAGTGACCAATTTGATACAAATCGATAATGTTAGTGACCAAATATTACTTTGAAAACTTCAATGAAAAAATAAAAACTTACTCAAACATTAATCACCATTTGATATAGAAGATCATAAGAGATTTAATTATTTATTTTTAAAAAAATTAAATCATACTTATAATAGTAATAAAATATACTTTTAATAAATCAAATCAAAATTAAATGTAAGGATTATCATATTGTCGGCTCGTGCAACCTCTAATATTTGTGATTGTCGAGCTGTTAAAGCTGGAGGAGTGGTTAGTTTAGTATTATTATATAATTATGGCCTTAATATTTCGTATCCTTTCAATTTGGTCGTTAATTTTAGTTGTTTAGTAAGTTGTGCCCTTATAATGTGTGGTTAATTTCTATCAGTCCTTAATTTGGTTAATGAAAGTTAATAAATTTAGCCTTAATTCATAATTGCTTTCGATTTGGTCCTAATTTAAACCTCTAACGAATTT